AAAATGTATATCTTAATTTATAAAAATAATTTAAAATTATTGTTTATATCTAAATAAGATATAAAATCTTAATTTTCAATTTTATGGTTTTCAATAGGCTAAAGCACAAATAGCTTGCTCACAAGCTTAAAAATACCTCTCCATTTTCTTTTTTCAAGCCATTTTCTAGTCTTACTTGTGAGTAACTGGTTTTGAAAGAAATCTTTGTTACCTGATTTTTTTTCTTCATCTGTCTTTTGTTGTTGAGCTATTATTTAGAGTTGGATTTACATACACGATTTTAAAATCCAGTGCAAATATTTGGAAAAAGTAAGGCAATAATACAAATATGTGAAAAACACTGAACTAAAACATAATATGATAAGTCTTCACAAGAGTTTTCTTGTCTTTCCTTAAATAGATTCTGGATTTATTTTTTCACCTATTATTATTATTATTATTATTATTATTATTATTATTATTATTATTATTATTATTATTATTATTAATTTTTCCTCCTATCTGTGTATTATGGTGTCTCCCTTCCAGCTCTGCTCTGTTCTGTTCTATTCTATTCTATTCTATTCTATTCTATTCTATTCTATTCTATTCTATTCTATTCTATTATTATATTGTATTGTATTGTATTATATATATTATATTATATTATTCTATTCTATTCTATTCTTATTATATTATATTATATTATATTATATTATATTATATTATATTATATTATATTATATTATATTATATTATATTATATTATATTATATTATATTATATTATATTATATTATAATAATAGAAGAAATCCTTTCAAAAATATTTCTTGCCTAAACTATGATCTCGCATGGCCTACGGACATTTTCTTCTCACCCACCAGAGCAGATGCTTGAAAACTGAACCACTGGATCAGCGTATCTATTGGCTGTTAATGTCTCAAAGCCTCCTGCCAACCTCAAGAATGAGGCCTGAAAAATAATTTTAAAATGTCCTTGAAACCTGGATAGTATGATTGATATAATAAAAAAAAATATTAATTTAAGAAGCTGAAAGACCAAACTGTCAAAGGCTTTGATATATGTGAGATGAATGCCCTCCCCCTCCCAAAATAGATGTAAAACAGTGCTTGAATAGGGTCATCCTTTCTAAAGCGGTGGTTGAAATCCCTGTCTTGAACAGGCAAAGGTAAAGTTTGATTCAAGTCAAATATGGCTCCCAGTGACTTCAGGACCCTTCCTGGCAGTTCTCTTGACAACACTATGGAAGAGATTGGTCATCACCTTCTTTCAGGATCCTTTTTCCAATTTCTGGTCTATTTAACCTACAATCATGATACTTTCTGATGGACTCTATTGAAATATTAATGAGAATCAACTCTGTTTATTTTTTGAGATCAGCCAGGTTTAGTTAGATCAGTGTTTCTCAACCTTGACAATTTTAAGGCATGTGGACTTCAACTCCCAGAATTCCACAGCCAGCAATGCTGGCTGTGGAATTCTGGGAGTTGAAGTCCACATGCCTTAAAATTGTCAAGGTTGAGAAACACTGAGTTAGATGTTGGAGCGCAAAGCCTAAAACAAACCTGCATGCAAATTCAGAAATGGCATTCATTTTCGGGAAATGTTTACTTTTGTTTGGTGAATTTTAAGGCAATGGCAAGGATTAGCATACTAACTTTAATAATGCGTGCATCCTGCAATTTAACAGTTTAAAATTTCTGAATCTCAAATGTTCCACGTTTGTCAATTAATGATAACATAAAGGAAGTACAATAAACTGTTCTCAGTAAATGATACGTTTCTCTTGCAAGACCTCAGTTTAAACATTCAACCTCCATTCCAGTTTGTTGGAAGATAAGTGCTCAGTTTGCTTTATACATTTATCTTTGGTGGAAATATCCAAGAAATATTCAAAAGAGCAGGAATTTTGAAACATAATTCTGAATTCCTGTCAGAAATTCCTCCTCATTAGACAATTGGAAACTCCTGAGGCCATTTATTCTTTTGACCCTAATCTTAGATTTCTGTTTTAAAAATTTTTTTTATTATTATATATGGCAGGGTCATATATCACCGGAATGATTGTCTTCAAAGCTGCTCATTGCACAATAATAATAGTTCCAGGATTGTTCTTATTTTCAGATAGATTCCAATTCTGTACAAATTGACATATTCCCTGTTGAATGATATTCCAAATGAGTATAACATTTATCACTAACAGATATGCAGATAGGAATCTCAAACTAATGCAGCATCAGTTGGTGATACAGGCAGGGTTGGGCTAAGTAGGAGCAGTCCTTTATTGCAATATTTCAAGGAACTGTGAAATCTCTGAGGGAGTTGGGCAGTTCAAAACTGAGAAAAATAAAGAAATTTAGGCAAGGTAATTTCTATAATGTCTGGATTCTCAAAGAAAATCTTCAGCCATTATCCTATAGGTTTTTTGAAAATGCTAGAACTTGGAAATATATTTCAACATACTTAGCCTTGATATTGCCTATCAGCTTTCCCCTTAAGAGGACAAGCAAGATAAGAATGAGTTACTGTGCACTATCTTAAAATTATGAATATTTTTCAAAAAAATATGTCCTGAGATTAGGTTTAGTTCACAAAGGGACATGGATTTCCACACTGATAAAAGTCGTATCTTGAATAGGAATATAAACACTATTACCACAATATCTCATATAGCTTCAGGTACATATGAAATTTACCAGCTTTTCCCAATATGTTTCATTTATTCCTCTATCATTAAGGTCTGAATTCCTTCTTTTTAATTTACATCGTCAGTCCCATAAATTGTCTTAAAATTCTTGAGATGAAAGATATGTGCACACGATAAAATATTGTAAGTATTGAAGCCAAGAAAATGCAGAGTAGATTTCTTCACATTTGACTTAACTTTATGATTTAAAGTCTCCTATTGCTGATTCACTGGGAGAAAAATCACCTTGCAGAATGGGGAAGGAAACTAGATTATACTGTAGTAAGTAACTCTGTGGCATAAATCTCATTTTTCCTAAGGAACCATTGGCTGGGTAATAAAGCCCATGGTTTTGTAAGTGAAAACAACATTTTGAGCATCATTTCCCTATTGAACAACAATATTGTGATCTAGCCCATCCTTTCGCAATGTTAGCAGACTTGTTTGGAGACCACAGTCCTAGTTTGATTTCTACCATTCACAACAATTTGAACATAGGTACATGTCCTTAGATACCGGCCATAATTTCCCAAGAGAAAGCATATATAAGAGGTAGATTAAACTAGTCTATAATTAGAATATTGTATAAATATAACAAAAAGCTAATTAATTTTTATGAAATAATGTGTGGACCTATGAGGCATAAAATCTAACCCAAGCTATCAGGTGAGCATCCTGCTCACAATCATTCTTAGAGAAACCTATGTAATTTGGCTCTTAAGTAATTATCTTAGATGAAGTTATCCTCCCACAGCCTTGCCCCTCCCAGAAAGTAGAACAATAATGGCAGTGGTACTATTTTTGTTTCCTTCTTAGTAATTTGGAAGTTTTTGCCTACCAGGGGAATTAGAAGGAATTTTCCTAACGTTCCCATTTTGAGATACAAGTCCTTAATGGAAACTTTATGGCTTTACTAATGAAATATTCAAAATACTACTTAAAAAGAAGAAAACGTTTTGCAGGCTTCCTCTGTAAATGAGCAATTAAAGGACCAGAATTCAAGATCTGAGTTATTAGGTCAGAGACAGGAAAGAAATTGTTCAATAAAATAGACATGTTCATATTTTTGCAGATATACAGTAGTGGCCAAAATTGTGGAAACCTTTTGGGAAAAGTGTATTTTTGAGGTTTGATGGCTAATAACACCCCTTTTTTTGGAGTAGTACCATAAAATTATATATCAATGGAAAGATAATTTAATCAAGAATGTAATGCAAGAAAGTTTGTTCAATTATCTGTGCTGTATTGTATGAAATATTATAGCCAAATAACCAGAAAAAGGAAGCACAACTTGCTTAGATTGATTTCAGGTAGCTTTCCTTCATCTCATTGTAGCCAATGAGCATGAGTGTTTAGAAAGCCAATCAGGTATCATCTTGTTTTGGCAATGAGCCAATCAGATCACAATAGGATTCAGTTATTGATGTCATGTATTGAAGCTGAGATGAGGACATTTGTCAGTGTGTTATGTGATCGCTATCAAGTTGGTTGGGGGGGGTTTTTGCGTTCTTTCATTTAGTGAGCTTGTAAAACGTAATAAAATTAAAGTACCGTAATGGTGCAAAGAGTTGACTGGTTGCCCAGAAAGCGATGTAAAATAGTATTTTTAAGTGAACAAGGCTACAGTTATTAAAGAAATTAGAAGAAAAATTGGTGGAAACTTAACCAAAGGTGGCATTTCTACTGTACACTTTTCCCAAAAGGTTTCCACAATTTTGGCCACCACTGTATGTGTATATTTGTGCATGTCAGAATGGGTGCACCTGAATCTCTACAGATGCAAAAGAAAGCATAACATAAGCAGACTTTTGCAGTAAAACTTTTTTAAAAAATTTATTAGACATTACAATGGAATATGCATATATAGGGTTGCACTCCATTTTAATAAGAGAGCAGAAATGATTTGTACACAATATGTTTCATTTTTCTCTGGAGAATAGGATAGCAAATTCCTTTTTAAAGAACGGCTTGACCTGAAAAACTAAATCTTTACAGTGATCCATTGAACCTCAAGAGTGGAGCATACTCAGAATTAGATGCTTTGTTACTGGCCAGTGAGGAGGCAGAGATTGCTTAGTTTTGTTCACTTCTACTAAGATAAAAATCCTACTGAATTCAGTGGTGTGTTCTCCCAATTAAGGATACAGTAAGTTCTAACGATAGAGTTCATAAATTCAGAGAACATCAGCTTAATTTAGAGGAACTGTGCTGTGTGGAAAAGGGAGAATTACTCCAATAGTCCATATTGTATTGCATGTAAATTTGTCTCTGTCCCATTCCTTGTTCAGTCTTTTTCTTTTTCTGGTTTTTTAGATTCTCCGCAGCATCCTGCTCTTCCCTACAATAGAACGCATGGCACAATCCCCACAGGGCAAGCTCATGACTCCCCTGCTCTGCTGGCTCCGTTATATTCTGTACATACCTATATATTTGTTCACTTTTGTACCAGAAAGAGTCAAAAGCTTCTTCGTGCACTTTGCATTGAGTCAGCAGAAATGGAATGATGAAACTGTAGTAACGACATTGATAGACATGCTTAATAACATGGATTGTATCGGTGAGTAGGACCAGCACATGAGACTTGTTCTTTCTTCTAAATTATCTCATCTAACATGCATTTTTTTAATTGATCAGTCCTCATAAAAGACAGCTATCATTAAAAAAATGTATTCGGTAATAATTTGGGGAAAATATTTTTAAAGGTTTGAGTGGTAACGGTACGTTTGGCTCTTGGGTTTCTAGCAATAAGCCAAAGAAACAATGCCTTTTCCCCCCAACAAAAATGGATAGGTGGAAAAAAGTTGTTTGTTTATTTATTTATTTATTTATTTATTCAACTTGTTTATACCATCAATTACTGAAGCCTCTTGGCTGTTTATAATATAAGAAATGATCTGCAGTGTTTGGACCTTGTACCGCTGTTGCAGCCTGTAAGCCTGAGATATGCAATTTTTTTCATGCATACAGTATCTTCCTTTGAAGTAAAATGTTTCTTGAAATTTATCTCTCCCTTCATTGTTGCTATATATATATATATATATATATATATATATATATATATATTTCTGTGGGCTAAATTGGATGGTTATTCTCCAACAATTCTCTGTGCTTATTACTTATTGTTATATTGGTGCCAAGGCTCCCTGTCCTTTTAGGACAATTTAAAAGGGAGCAATGGCTAGGTTTGGAAAAAAGTAGAATGGAATTGCTGAAAAGCATCTCTTTCTTAATTCTGCCAATTAAAAATGTCTTCTGAATCAGAACCTTCCATCATTGGCAGGAAATTAATCAGAAGTGCAACTCAGAACATTCACAAAAGCAAATAAACATCTCCAAACAGAGGTTTTTTTAAAATATATTCTATGTTTCCTTAATAGTGCTTGTTGTTCCATTCTATTTTAAAATCTTAAATCTTTTTTCCCCTTTTTTATAACTTTAGAGCCTTTCCTCCATCAGACTGCTATATTTCAGAGGTGCGGTTCTTGAAAATATATGGTGTTTTTCCCACTATTTTGAAGTGGAAAGATATGATAATTGAGTGGTAAGCCTTAAAATAATGCTTAACTGTAACCATCTCCTTCTAAAGAAAAGACCAGAAAAAAAATGAGAAATCCCATTCCCACCCATTGTATGATGCAACTACGACTATTTTACATCTTTGACAAAAAATAACAAGTGGAAATATTTCAAGGGGAGAGATCCAACCTAGAACTAGGGAGAAATTTCCTGTCAGTGAAAACAATTACTGGAGCGGCTTCCCTCCAAAAGTTGTGGGTGCTCTATCACTGGAGTTTTTTAAGAAGTGATTGGAGAGCATTTGTTTGGAATGGTAAAGTGGCTCCTGCTTGAGCAGAGAGTTGGACTAGAAGACCTCCAAGGTCACTTCCAACTCCGTTATTCTGCTATTCATCTCAGTGGCTTCTGACGAATTCTTCAAAGAATTTGTTACAAATAGGTTCTTTAGCCAGATAGAAATCCTCAACGTTTTAGTGAATGATATATATAATTGTATGTATCAGTTTACTCAGCTGCAGAATAGAGATCCTGGGTAGGAAGGTCTGCATGGATAAAACCTGTGATGGACGAGAAATATTGGGAACTTAATGGAGGCAAACAGGTTTGTTCCATGTCATCTTCATAGGTAAAAGAGTGGGAGGTGTTCCATCTTACATTGCATACATCATTCCTTTGGACAATATGTTATCATTTTTGTAAGGATTACAATTTTGAAACTTAGCATGATGGGACTATCATGTTTGTTCTTTCATAGCTAAATGAGCCATCGTCAGACTCCTCCCTGGAGGGGAGCACAGAAAACATTGATCATGCAATGAGCAGAAAATGAGCTCTTGGGGATTTGCAACTTCCCATTTTTTTAAAATGTAATTAAACCCTATTGGGAATGACTGGTTTTATTTGGCTGGACTTTACTAGCAGTCTTTAAATAAAATTAAGTATTCGTTGATTTCAATGAGTCGCCTTCCTTGGAAATGAATCATTGTGGTTGGCTGAGTTGAAAGGAAATGCCCACAAACATTAAGACTGTGAGAGTAAAGGGGTTTTATATAGTAACAAACTCCCAGGCTTCCTGTATAGGTAAGTAATCTAGCAAGTGGCATGTCCTGTACCATCTGCTTTAGATTAGTAGTAACTGACAATATCTTGATCAGCAATCTTGGCTATTTTAACTTGGCTTTACCAATCTGTGCAGTGGAATAAAATTGGAACAAACATTATATCCATTTGCCCTTCAATAACCCATTAGGTATGGTTCAGAAATGTTCAGCAACTGAATTTATTCCTCATCCCCAGGAGTTTTGTGTTAACTAACTCATTAAAAGTGTCTGTGTGAGTGTGTATGTGTTACCTTTGGCATTAGTTTCTGCCTCATTGCTGTAATTGCAATAAAATCCATGATGAGAAGAGAAGGTAAACGTTTCCTTTAAAATGATGTGTTTCCTAGCACAAACTAACCTGCCAGGGACTCGTTACCACGTCCGGACCTTACTCACAACAATATGTTTTCTCTCCTCTAAAAAGGAAATGAAATTTAGAAAACCTAATTATAACAAGACTAAGTGCCCAGCCCGCCTTCCATCAAACTCAAAAGTAAAACACCATTTAGAAGGAGTGTGGCCTCAAGCAAAGTCTTGGTTATGTTGTTAATGGGAGAATTTCAGCAGAATAAAACATAAGCTTCAAAGTACATAGGAAGTTTCAGCAACCAGAAAAGAAAGCATGGTGGTCAATAATATACCATTCAGTATTTAGCTAAAAGACCTTAAAATGGTCTTGTGTGGACTTATAAACAGAGGACTAAATATTAATAAATACATCAGCTAAATACTAAATAAGTAAGCTGTCTCAATAACAACATAGCTTATTAGAATTTTCATAGGATTTAATTTTTTTGCCTAGTCAATTTCTTTATTCAAATATTACATTTTCAAAACTTATTGGGCAGATACTGTTCTCTAATATTACCCCATATGCAATATGTAGAATCTATTGAAATAGATTCTGGATATTAAAATAGGGATTCCACTACTTTGCTCTCAAGTAATTGGGTATACCCCCCCTCAGAAGTCGCATTTAGCTGCCTCTTTGCTTTCAGGAAATAAGTTAAGTATTTTAACCCTTTTTCTTTTAGTTTTATATTTTTAACTATTTTGAGAGCCTTATGGGTATAAAAATAGGTATACATTGAAATAAATAAAAAATTATATATGTGTGTTTTGTGTGCGTATGTGTGTGCATGTGCGTGTGTTGAAAGTGGATATATATCTTATGGTTAATAATAAATCTCATATATTATCATTTATATTGATTCTAATGATGATAGCACCTGCATTAGAGAGTACAGTAGTGGCTTTATAATAGTTTGGGCAATAAACCGGGCAGCCCCTAAAGAGCAGCAGAGTGCCACTTATTTGGTACATTGATTGATTAGTTGATTGATTTCACTGTGGGAAAGAATCATGGATATTTCATACCAGATATGACATAACAAGACATGAGAATGTTAGAGATATCTAGCAATAGTAATAGCACTTAGGCTTATATACCACTTCCTAGTGCTTTACAGCCCTAAGCATATTGCCCCTAACAATCTGGGACCTCATTTTACCGACCTCAGAAGGATGGAAGGCTGAGTCAATCTTGAGCCAGTCAGGATCGAACTCCTGGCAGTGGGCAGAGTTAGCCTGTAATATTGCATTCTAACCACTATGCCACCACAGTTTCTAGAAATAGAAAAGAGCGATAAAACATCTTTACAAAAACTAATTCTTAAACACCTGATTCTGGATATTAAAATAGTCTTGGTTCTGGTTTTTGCCTCCTAAGAACTTCACTAATAATAATAATACTTTTACCACTCTTCAAAGACCAGTATTTTAATGTATAAACAAAGGGGAAAAGAAAAAAAATCATTTTCTTTGAAAGTAATATCTGATCAAATACTCTTATATTGCTAATTGTAGTTCAAATTCTCATTTTCAAATACCACATTTTTTTCTCCATGATGTCTCTTATGCATAAAGGTTTGCAAACTCAGGTCCTTCCTGATATGCTTCCTGGAATATATTGAGTTAAGTTCTGAGATTGATAACCAGCTTTCCTCCAACCATAATTGCTGGAAAAAATGCACCTTCCCACTATTTGGAAGCACAGTACCATAAAAAAGCATCATTCTAAAATAGACTTTATACAGGTACAGGCAGAAGAAAAACTTCTTTGAATTACCCTCTGTCCCAGGATAAAAATGGAAAATGCCATGGGCCTGTTACAGTCCTAACTCATTTATTTTTATTTGATTTTATTTTTATCCCACCTTTATTATTTTTAGAAATAATTCAAGATGGCGAATATACTTAATCCCCCTTCTTCCTTCTATTTTCCCCACCACAACAACCCTGTGAGGTAGGGCTGAGAAAGAGAGAGTGACTGACCCAAAGTCATCGAGCTACTTTCATGTCTAAGATGGGACTAGAACTCTCAGTCTCCTGACTTCTAGGCTGGTGCCTTAACCAATAGACTAAACTGGTTAGTATCACTCCCCTTCCCAGGGATATGATTCCCCTATTGCTAAGAAATTGCCAAAAATCAACCCAACTGAAAGGGAAAATTATCTTAGCAGATATCAGGATCTTACAATGACATATGCTGTTCTTAACAATAACAGCACAATCCTTAATGTCCTCACAAGGGTGGTAGTTAGACAGATGAAAAAGAAACACAAGAAGATGAAATAGGCGGCTACCTCAGAATAGTTTTACACTTTCATCCACTTTTTTACATTTTATTAATCCTCAAAGGTTTCCCTTTTTGAAAAATAAAGATACTTAACCACCTTCCAAATAAAAAACCGTCTTCCTCCACATATTAAGCATATTAAACTTCTAGCAAATGAAGGGGCACCAAAAAAGAAAAGGGGAGTGAAATATGCTTTTTTTAATTTTGCAGCTTATATTACGAATGCAATGTGTTTGGGGGGGGGCTTTGTTTTTCTGACTTTTAAAAACTTACTGCCTGAAAAATATTTTCCATTGAGCATGT